CGCGGGCGGGGAGTGGTTGAAGAGGGCCTTGGAAATGGCTGGAGGGAGGGACAAGAGAGCCGTGAGGTGGTGGAAAGTGGTGGTAAGAGGGGCCAGCTTAGGGAAACTGATTGCTGATTGAGTCTCCTGGCTGCAAGATTTTTGATGATAGCCCTGAATCAAAAAAAGGGATGGGGCAAATGCTGAGACCTTTGTCCAGAGCACTGGTCCAGTCGCCAAGCTTTTGATTTACCATCTCCTTCTTGCTTCCTAGAAGTAATTGTATTCAAAGAATAATAATTGCAAGAGAGAAGAGAAGGGAGAAACAAGATGAAACCTTGTCAAATTGAAGGAAAACCAGAAAATGGGAGTGAACCAAAGCTTGAGGAAGAGCCAAAGCCTGAGGAAAAGCCAGAGGAGGAAGCGCCAGAGGAGGAGGAAAACACAGAAGGAACTTTCAGAGAAAGGCTGATTCAGTCACTCCAGGAATTTAAGGAAGATATACACAACAGGCATTTAAGCAAGGAGGATATGTTTAGCGAAGTGAATGAAATAGATGAGATAAGGAGAGTAAGAAACAAACTTATAGTGATGCGTTGGAAAGTTAATCGAAACCATCCTTACCCCTATTTAATGTAGTTTACCTTGATTTTTATTTTTTCTCTATTAGCATTTGCATTAAGCCTTCTTTTGATTTGCATTTTCCTGATAAACTTTTGCCCATTTTCCTGCTTGTTGCTCTTAGTGGTTTAAGATGCATCTCTTATCTGCATTTTATTGTTTATCATCTTTTGAATCAATCTCCCAGTCTCTGCTTTTTAATAGAGCTTTACTCATTTGTACAAAAGGAGGTTCCTGACAGAATATAAAATGAAAAAACATTACTAGGTAATAGGCGACTGTCATTTTTTAAAAGGAAGAGTACATTTGTGTATTACGTATATGCACAGAAAAACATGAAGGATGAAAGACAAAAGTACAGTGAGTGCTAGGATTATGAGTGATTTTTAACATTCTGCATATTTGTATCTTTCCTTATTCTTAGAATGTATACACATTGTTAAAATAATAAACATTTTATAGCAAAAATAACCAACAGCACTTACCAGTTTATTTCTCCAGTCACTAGGGCACTCGATATTTGTTGACAGAATTTTAGAAGCAAATGTGAACTCCAAATTATCACCAGACCACCTAGCTAGAAGAATAACTTTTACATCTTATCTGTAAAATAAAATAATGCTTTCTAAGGTATCTCCTGAGGACCAAATAAGGATATGACATCTATATCTGACAGGTTTTTCTTTTCGCGTCTGCCCATGCAGGATCCCAGCTCCCAAGAGATTTGGTTCAGTTATTTGGGGGAGGGAGGTGGAGTAAGTATTTCTCACGTGTGCTTAATAAAATCCAGGCCAACTCTTAGGTGGGTACAACCTTTATGTTCCTCTCCTGCTGTGTCTGCCCAACCTCCCATTTCCTCCTCTCAAAATACTACCATGTACTTTGAATATCCCTGCCCTTTCATCCAGGTCCTGTATCTTTCAGGCCCCTACTTCTATTGGTGTTTTGGAATTCTCAAATAATGAAGCCAAACATATTTTTTCAGAACCCCCAGTGGGCTGAATCACAGACCTCTACAGAAAAGAGAAGAGTGCCCATCTCTTCAATTTAAACATTTATGCAGGGCCACTTGGCCATGATATCTTAAAGATGTCTTGGCAACTTGGAGATTTTAATCACAGGCCCCTTCCCCATAATACTATGAGTCTGTTTGAGAGTTGGACCTGAAGACAATCTCTTAACACACGCTTTAGTCAGAATTGCTTCTTTGAGTGTAAGATTATGGTTTTATCTTTATTTCCTTAGGGTAAGTGATTTCTTCCAGACGATCAGTGTCAGACCCTTCTCACCAGTTCATCAGATACCCCTAGACCTATGTAAATTGTAAAGGGAGAGAGGTTCAAGTCAAATTCGGGGATGTTCCCATATTTACCTGGAAACATGAAAGTGCTATGTAAAAAAGTGTATCTACATCTAAATCTACGTATCTATAGATGTATAGATGGCTCACAGTTGTACCAGTTGTATTTTATTTTTCCTCTGTGCTGCTCTTTTTGGGGGCAATTTATGTCTCCAGACTGTAACACCCTGATGGATGATGCTGGTGGGGCTGGATTACGGCTATAATGAGATGAGGGTCCAGGGAGTGACTAGCAGTTTTACAAGACAGGATGAATCCATCCCCCTGGAGCTCATAGGGGTGGTTCTTAGGATGTGGAAGAGCTCGCCCCAGCTACACTCCTCTCCAAGGTGGTCTGACTTTGTTTTCTATGCATTTGCCTGTAGCAGGCACCAGATCCTCCTATGCTGATGGCCAGGCTGTCCTGGATATGTATTCCTGGGGAACAACAACTGTCCCCATTGCAGGTCAGAGCACTGGACTTCTTTTTTTTTTCCCTTCACAAGGGGGTTTCATGGGAACTTTTTATAGGAAAGGGGATAAGACCTGAAAATCCATTAACTAAAAACATTGGTTGCGGTAGTCTTTGTCCCAGCCATGATTCGTCTGGTTATAATCAGCTAACTTGGGGTTAAAGTGGATGGAAATGATTTTAGACAGTACACAAATATTTTAAATTGTAATATCCATGGATTTATTTGAATATATTAATGAATACTCTGTTTAAAGCAAATGATAATAGTTTAGATTTAGGGTGGTGTCATAAAGTTCCGTTTTTGAAAGAGTATTCGAATTAAGTGAGTCAATTTGAAAAACATGAAGTAGAACACTATTAATATTAACAGCATTGATAGCATAAGTGGTATACAAATATGGCAAAAATCATCCTAGTGGGAAACATTGCCTTAGCATAATTGATTTAAGCTGAGATTTCTCCCCACTTATAAGTTAACTACTTAACCTGCTACTGTTTAATGGATACTGGCAGGAGACACTCGAATCCTGGGTCAGAAGAAACAGGGACATTATTAGTCACGGCAAAAGCAGTAGCCAGAGCTTCATACTGGTTTGTATCACTCTCCAAGATCCTCAAGTTCCATGGGGTGACAGGGCCCATAATGGATGTCTGTTCACGCAGCGCGTTGTGTTATAGGAAAGAAACCCTGAGTTTGGAGATTTCACCACTTTCTTAGTAAGCAGAAGCAAGCCTGCCCTGTACCCAGAGAAAGATGTTAACTCATCCCTCAAAGCTGCTTGCTGCAAACACGACTGAGAAATGGCCTTCCTTGTGTGAAGAATGGTCAGGGCCTTACCTCTTGGTATATTGCCAATAAAAATGTGCAGGAATGTTCAAGATCCAAGGCAGATTGCCTCTCCCCAGTAACAGTTTTCTCTGTGTAATAAATCTTAATGTGAATGGCAAACCTTTCCTAACATCACAAATTTTGATTTCTAATTCCAAGTTAAATAAAGCAGATAATGTAGTATGCTGTAGAGTGTAAACAGGGCATTTGTAACTCTTTCTCGTTTTTACTTAAATATATAGGATTTTGAATGAGTACTAAATAACCGAACAAAAACATCAACTAAGAAACTAAAAGTAAGTAGTATATGAGGAACTGGAAAGTTAAAGTAACACATAGCTACCATGACACACAAAAGAAGTAGAGGAGCAAGACCAATGGATTTACCAGGATGCTAATGACAGGGGTAATCTTTTGCACAATTTTGCACTGTGAAACTGAAATGAAAATGTGTTTAAAAGTCAGCCCCAGATCCCATATACGCGTAATCACCGCTGCCTATATAAAAGGAAAAGGCAAAAGCTGAGAGAAAAGCTAGTCTGTTTCCTCTACAAAGAAAGTTCAAGCTAAGTTAAGGGTTGAGGGAAGGAGACCTCTCATATATTAGCAGTATCCCAAAGAAGTTATTTGATATTCTGACATCGGCGTTTTGCAAGAGCCTTAGCAAAAACAATTGCATAAATTTGATGGATAATTTAGTTGGCTATGGAGCATCTTTTCGTGTACTTATTGGCCATTTGTATACGTTACTTTGAGAAATGTATATTCAAATATTTTGCCTTCATGCTCCTTTAATATTTTCAGTATAGTTTGGGTAAAGAATAATCTTAAAGGGATAAGGTAGAGCCATAGGTACTACATGTTCATCATGAATTATTAAAAGAAAAATGAAGGACAGGAGGTACAGTATAATACACACACACACACACACACACACACACACACACACACACCAACAAATATCAAGATGAAGCACTTCAGCTCACTAAAGGGAGGGATCACATCCTTTTAAGTGGCATTTTGATATATCACTAGACCTCCTGCTATCTGGTTGTTCAAGAAATAACTATTTTAAAAAATTTCTCCTAATGGATAATTATATTATTTTTGCATTGTAACTGTCAAGGTAGTTTCTTGGACTGACATAGAGCATAGAGTCTTTCTTCCCTTCCATGAACTGAGTCATTTTCTAGATGTTATATCACTAACCTACTGTTTAATAGAAAAGAGAAGTGAGGCTTAGAGAGATTAAGTGCCTTGGCTAAGGTCACTCAGCTATTAAATGGAGTGCCTGCCTAAGGTCAAAACCCTTGCTCCTAATCTCTGCTGTGCATCAGTTGGTATTTAATAAACAGTAACAACAACGCCATTGTGCTGAATAAATTATCATCTCCTCAAAGCTCCGTGCTCTTTCAAGTCCTGGTCTTAGTTCTCACCATTTTGCTTGCCTAAAACATTCTCTCAACCACTCCTCACACACTTACCCTGGATAAATCCTATTCGTCCATCCCATAATGGGTGTTACTTCTTTTAAACAGCTTTATTGAGATCTAGTTCACATACCATACAATTTGTCTACTTAAAATGTACGACTCACTGGTTTTTAGTATATTTACAGTTACGTGCAACTATCACCACAGTCAATCTTAGAACATTTTCAAGTCAAAAAGAAACACCATACCCTTACCTATGACTCCTCCCCCATGCTTCTATTGTTTCAGCCCTAAGAAAACACTAACCTGCTTTCTATTTCTATAATTTCCCAATCCTGGAACACATTGCTCTTTTTTTCCAATGCCTTACTGTTGAATTGTACACCTGAAACTTACTGGATTTCGTTAATCAATGTCACCATAATAAAAATAAATAAATAAATAGATAGATAGATAGATAAATAAATAAATAAAATGTCCCAATCCTGGACATTTCATAAGAATGTGCTCATATAAAATGTGGTCTTGCAATTGGCATTTTTTCCTTGGCATGTTTTCGAGATTCGTCCATTGTGTAGCATGTATTCCTTTATTTCTTCTTATGGCTCGACAATATTCTATTTTATGACTAGGCCACATTTTGTTTATCCATTAGTCCATTGATGGATATTCGAGCTGTTTCCATCTTTTGCTTATTATGAATAATGGAAATATGAACATTCATGTACAAGTTTTGTGAGGACATATGATCTTATTTCTCCTGGGTAGATCTAAGAATTGAACTGCTGGGTTATACAGTAACTCTGTGCTTAATCATTTCAGGAAATGCCATACTGTTTTCCAAACTAGCTGATTGTTTTACATTCCCACTAGCAGTGTGTAAGGGTTCCGATTTCCCCATATCCTTAACAACACTTTTATTGTCTGACTTTCTGATTTTAACCATTTTAGTAGGGGTAAAGTGGTTTTTGTAATTTTTATTTAATTTTAATTTTGTCTTGTAATGCTTTTATTTATTTTTAAAATGTAGTTGGTATTGAAGTGGTTTTGAAGGAACTCTGAAAGGGATTGCATCGAATCTGTAGATCGATTTGATGAGTATTGCCATTTAAACAGTATTAAAATTTTCAATTCGTGAACGTGAGATTTTTTCCCATTCAATTGCATTTTCTTTAATTTCTTTCAGTAATGTTTTGTAGTTTGCAGAGTATAAACTTTGTAATTCATTAAATTCATTTCTAAGTATTTTATTCCTTTTGATGCTATTATAAATAGAGTTTTCTTAATTTTCTTTTCAGATTATTTGTTGCAAGTGTATATAAATACAGTCGACTTTTGTATATTGATCATGTATCCTGTAATCATCCTGGAGTTGTTTATTAGTTCTATTAGTTT